ATGATGATTGCCATAACTTGAGGTCAAATCTAAGAGCCGCAGTTAAGAAAGTTAACCAATCCAGACAGGATGGTGATTATTCAAATATGGTTCAACTCAGGAGAGCATACAAATCCCTACTGAAAAACAAGAAAAGTAGCTATAACACCAGGATGTGGAAAGAGGTAGAAATGGCAGCGAAATCCCAATTCCCTACGATCTTTTGGCATAAGATAGCCGGTATATTAAAACAACGTTCCCCATTTATGGACACTGATATATCAGCAGTAAAATGGGAGAAGCACTATCTTGCTTTATTTGATGGTAACAATACAACAAATGTCTTGCAATTGGATATCCTCCAGCAAGAATTAAGGAAATGTCCGGAATGGACACCAGTTACCCCTACCGAAGTTAAGCATATAATTCAATCCTTAAAGGCCAGGAAGGCCCCTGGAGAGGACTTGTTGCCTCCTGAACTCTTTAGGTCCAACATTGACTTTTGGGTACCGGTGCTGGTAGCACTGTTTACTTATATCGATAAAGTAGGGATAATCCCTGAAGGGTGGAGGTTAGCTATAGTTTTTCCAATTTTTAAGAAAGGTGATAGAGCTGCCCCATCCAACTATCAACCCATCAGTCTTCTTAATATAATTTCAAAAATGTATACAAAACATCTCCTAAATAAAATAGAGGACTGGTGCTTGGATAAGGAAATTCTGGCAAATGAGCAGGCAGGTTTTAGATCAGGTAGGTCTACCATAGACAATTGTTTTGTCCTTTCCCACTTAATTAATAAATACAAGACCCAGGGGAAAAAGCTGTATACCGCCTTTATTGACCTTACTGCTGCTTTTGATTCTATAGATAGGAACCACTTGTGGAGGAAACTACAAGTTATGGGGATGGACCCCAGACTTATTTTGTTGATCAGGAATCTCTATACTAATACGGCAATTAGAGTCAGATTTGCAGCAAATGGGGCCTCAACAAACAGCATACTGACAACTAGAGGAGTGAGGCAGGGCTGCCTGCTGGGCCCTATTCTTTTTAACCTTTATATAAATGATATCCCAGCGCAGCTGGATGATCTTCTGACGCACAGCCCCCAAATAGGCTCTAGATTTATTAACGTATTAATGTATGCCGATGACTTAGTGTTGTTTTCTAGAACCCAAATAGGAATGAGGAGACTTCTTGACAAGCTCACACGTTACTGTACTGCAAACCACTTGACTATAAATGTAGCTAAATCAAAAGTTTTAGTCTTTGGCAATAAGAATAAAAAGCACAATTGGCAGATTAATGACACAAAAATCGAGCAAGTTACCCAATATACTTATCTTGGAATTGTTTTTTCCAGTGCAGGAGGTTGGACTCCGCACCATCAATACCTTTCTCAAAAGGTCAGAGCAGGAGCAAGCCTTGTATCCAAATTAAGTAAACGAATCCAACCAACCTCCATTTTACCTCTTCGTAAAGTCTTTCAGGCTAAACTTGTTCCACTCATGCTCTATGGTGCTGAAATTTGGGGTCTTACAGAGGCCCCCATATTAGAGAGAACTCAAAATAATTTGTTAAGGAGGATGAGCTGAATTGGGACATTTCTCACTGTACACCTATACAATCACTAGGGCGGTAGCCTACTGGCTAAAAATGACTCAGATGGATGCCAGCAGACTCCCTAAAATATGTCTAGAGGAACAGCAGATTTCAAATCCTCAAAGGTATTCCTGGCTAACCCAGCTGTCAGAAATATTGAACCGATATGGCGTAGGGTTCCCGTTGTGTGACACACTGAACCAAGTTAAACAACGGATTAAAGATATACATGGGCAAATGGACATGGCAACCCTTTCAACTAATCATTCCCTTAAACTGCTGACAGCAGTTAAAACAACTTTCACTCTGGAAAAGTATTTACATTTAGAAATGCCATCAGTGGAGAGACAGTTATTTGTTAAGTTTAGATTCAAACTTCTAGATACCAACGTTAGATTCGGCCGTTATCGGAAAATCCCGTATGACAAAAGAATATGCATATGTGGGGTAAACGTCGTGGAGGACACGGTGCATATAATATTCGAATGTAGTCTCTATCAAGAAGTAAGAAAACAATATCTGTCCCCAATTATAAATAAATTTCCCCACTGGAATATAAGCCAAAAATTAGCATTTCTGTTGAGGGCTGACTCTCCTCCCCTGGTAAGAGCAATCACTCGATACCTTAAAAGAATGACGACAATACGAGCCAGTTATATCAAAAAAAATTTTTATCGATTGTAAGGAAGATGAGCTCAGTTAGAGAGGAGCTATCCTATTTGGGTTATCTAGTCTTGGCAACTTAGCTATTGAAATTTGATATTGTAAAATTTTAATGTCATCTATCATATATTTTTAGATTGCTATTTTTGTAACTGTTTTATCTTTTTCCCTTTTTCTTTTCTGTTTTGTTTGAAAAGGCCTTCGGGCTATTCAATAAACTATACATACATACACACCCACCACTAGTGCCACCATGGCCTGCTTGCAGGCCCAGTCTCACAGCACATTAAGCGTTTCCCTTTCACAGGGATCGCCCCTGCCCCTGCATGGGAAAGCCATGGCCACCAGCAACACGGCCACTGGCAGCATGGCCAAACTCTCCCCCTCCCCTCATTCTTTCCAGAGTGTGGAGAGAGGGAGGAAGGAAGGGAGGAAGGAAGGAAGGAGATGGGAATGAGAAGGAGGGAGACAAGGAAGGAGGAAGCAAGGGAAACAGGAAAGAAGGAAGGAAGGAAGGAAGGAAGGAAGGAAGGAAGGAAGGAAGGAAGGAAGGAAGGTAGGTAGGTAGGTAGATTATAATGAGAGGGAGGGAGGGTCTGGGGAAGTCCTGCCTTAGCACTTGGCCATCACAGATGCCCCTGACACAAGTGACGCCCACCCTGGCCACATCCATCCTGGCCACACCTCCACACATACCTGAGGTCAAACACAGGGGTGAAATGCTCCCGGTTTGGATTGGATCGCCTGATCTGGTAGCGATGGTGGCGGGTGGTTCGGAGAACTGGTAGCAAAAATCCCTGCCCCCCCCCCATGCCCAGCTGAGCCACACGATCATCAGAGGCTTTTTTTTACTTTTAAAAGCATTTTTTCTACAACTTCTTCCGACGAAAAAATGCTTTAAAAAGTTAAAAAAAAAAGTTGGCCATGCCCATCCAGTCACATTAACCCCCCCCTACCAAGCCATGTAGTAACAAATTTTACATTTCATCCCTGGTCAAATACAACCCTGATGCAGCCCTCAATGAAATTGAGTTTGACACCTGTGCTGCATAGCATGGAATCCGGCTTGGGAAGAGAGTGAAAGGGAAGAGGCAGACAGCCAGGTCATTCAATGGGCAGGGGGAGGTTGCAGTGGCCTGGCTGTGGGGGTCTTGAGGTACACGAGTCCAGAGCGAGTGTGGCAGCTCCCTCCACCACTTGCCTCGCCTCACCTTACCTTGTGGCAGTGTCATGTGTCCTCCTGCCCTGTTGTGACCGCGAGCAACCAGACGGTGGGATGGGGTGGGTGGGGTCTTAAATAGGGCTTATTTTTGGAATAGGGCTTAATAGTCCCTATTAAGCTAGGGCTTATTTTTTGGGGGGAGGGGGGTCTTATTTTTGGGGAAACCAGTAATTTAAAAAAAAAACTTAAGAAACAACTACCAATCAGCACAATGAGATTCTTTATTGATCCAAAGGGAAAGGGGGAAAATGTTTTAATTGGCCCAATGTAGTGTCTATATACGTTGCATGAGTTTAAATATTGTACAAGTTTTTAAAAGTATGAAAAATATTCAGGAGCATTATTTTATCCTATTTTCTATACTTCCTACTCAAAAGTAACTTTTGAGTAGGAAGTATAGAGTAACAGGAAAGAAGGAAGGAAGGAAGGAAGGAGATGGGAATGAAAAGGAGAGAGACAGGGAAGGAGGAAGCAAAGGAAACAGGAAGGAAAGGAAAGAAAGGAAGGAAGGAAGGGAAGGAGATGGGAATGAGAAGGAGGGAGGCAGGTAAGGAAGGAGGGGAGGGAAGGAGGCTGCTTTGGTTACAAAGCCAGGTCTCCTTGTATGGAGAGGGAGTGGGCCTCCCTCTGACATTTTGCCCTCCTGTTCCCACCACGAGCAACCTAGCCAAGGAGCACAGCAGCAATACCCTTGCGGAGGTGGTAAATGCAGCCAGGTGCTCCCTCAGGGAAGCGGGGGTGGGCTGGGCTGCAGGGTCCCAGTGCCCCGGGATCCAGAGGGTTGGGCTGGCTGCTTGCCCTCCATTGGCCAGGGCTCCAGGCAGCCCATGCCACCATTTGGGGGTCCTCCACGTGGCTTGAGAGGGGTGGTGAGGCTCCTCTGGTGGACTAGGCTTTGGCGCTCTCCCTGGTCTCGCCTTCCTTCACTGCAGACTTCCAAATCCTCCCTTTGCTGGGAGGAGGCATGGGGAAACACCAACAATGTCTGGATTTGTGAGAAATACACCTCCTTTGGTATGTTGTGCACATGTGTGCACACACATGTGCGCACACACATGCACACACACACATGCACACACATTCCAAGCTTGGAGACTTTTATCCACATCTGAGCTTGCAAATTGCCAATCATACCTAGGCTTGGGGAGAAGGCCCTCTCCTTCCTCTGTGGATAAAAGTCCCCAATCTGCATGCATGCAGATGCTTGGCTGCCAGCAGTTTGGCAGGCGGCAAGGAGCTTGTGGGGAACCTAATTGTCCCCATGTCGAGTTAGCCAGTGTGACTTTTGTCCCGACCCAGCTGTCTGAAATCAGCCACACCCAGTGAGTCAGTGAGTTGGGCCATGCCCAACCAGCCACACCCACCTGGCCATGTCCACCTAGTCATGGCGACCCAGCTTACAATCTTGTAGACACCCCTGCCTTAGAATCTTGTAGAGCATGGCTCTATGAAAAAAAATGATTAGCTTTTTACCAATTTAAAAACACATGATCTATTAGAGAATTTCAGAACTTTCAACTGGTTATACATAGAATAGAATAGAATTCTTTATTGGCCAAGTGTGATTGGACACACTAGGAATTTGTCTTGGTGCATACCCTCTTGGTGTAAATAAAAGAAAAGATATATTCATCAAAATCATAAAGTACAACACTTAATGATAGTCATAGGGAAACAGTCAATATAAATCTTAAGGATACCAGCTACAAGGTTACAGTCATACAGTCATAAGTGGAAGGAGATGGGCGATAGGAACGATGAGAAGATTAATAGTAATGCAGACTTAGTAACTAGTTTGACAGCGTTGAGGGAATTATTTCTTTAGTAGAGTGATGACGTTCGGGGAAAAAACTGTTCTTGTGTCTAGTTTTTCTGATGTGCAGTGCTCTATAGTGTCATTTTGAGGGTAGGAGTTGAAACAGTTTATGTCCAGGATGTGAGGGGTCTGTAAATATTTTCACAGCCTTCTTTTTGACTTGTGCAGTATACAGGTCCTCAATGGAAGGCAGATTGGTAGTAATTGTTTTTTCTGCAGTTCCTCTGAAGTCTGTGTCTGTCTTGTTGGGTTGCAGAACCAAACCAGACAGTTATAGAGGTGCAGATGACAGACTCAATAATTCCTCTGTAGAACTGTATCAGCAGCTCTTTGGGCAGTTTGAGCTTTCTGAGTTGGCACAGAAAGAACATTCTTTGTTGTGCTTTTTTGATGACATTTTTGATGTTGGGTGTCCATTTTAGGTTGTGAGATATGGTAGAACCTAGAAATTTGAAGGTCTCAACTGTTGATACTGTGTTGTCTAGTATTCTAAGAGGTGGTAGTATGGGAAGGTTTCTGCTAAAGTCCACCACCATTTCTACAGTTTTGAGTGTGTTCAGTTCCAGATTGTTCTGGTCACACGACGAGGCTAGTTGTTCAACCTCCTGTCTGTATGCGGATTCATCATTGTCTCAAATGAGACCGATCACTGTTGTGTCATGTGCAAACTTCAGTAGTTTAACAGATGGATCGTTTGAGATGCAGTCATTGGTATATAGAGAGAAGAGAAGTGGAGAGAGCACACAGCCTTGTGGGGCCTGTGTGCTAATTGTACAGGTATCTGATGTGATTCTGCTTAGCTTCACCTGCTGCTTCCTTGACGCTTTGAATACTGAATGCAGTGGCATTTTAAGGTACTGTGGAAAAATAAAATGATAAGTAACTATTTTGGCCATTGTTTGGAGCTGTTTCTTCTTGTTATTACCACCAAATCAACCTGCAAGAGCCCTACAACAGATCTTCTCAGAACAAAATAACAGAGTTGGAAGGGACCTTGTAGGTCATCTAGTCCAACCCCTCACACAAGCAGGAGACTCTATACTATTTCTAACAGATGGAAGTCCAGTCTCTTCTTGAAAGCTTCCAGTGATAAAGCACCCACAACTTCTGAAGGCAAGCTGTTCCATTGATTGATTGTTCTCACTTTCAGAAAATTTCTCCTTATTTCTAGGTTAAATTTCTCCTTGATCAGTTTCCATCCATCATTCATTGTCTGGCCTTCAGGTGCTTTGGAAAAAAGGTTGACCCCCTCCTCTCTGTGATAGCTCCTCAAATATTGGAACACTATTATCATGTCTCCCCTGGTCCTTCTCTTCACTAGACTAGCCATGCCCAGTTCCTGTAACTTTCTTCCTATGTTTTAGCCTCCAGTCCCCTAATCATCCTTGTTGCTATTCTCTGCACTCTTTCTAGAGTCTCAACATCTTTTTTATAGTGTGGTGACCAAAACGGGATGCAGTATTCTAGGTATGGTATTACTAAGGCTTTATAGAGTGGTACCTCACATGATCTTGATTGAATCCCTCTCTTAATGCAATTTAGGATTGCATTGGCTTTTTTGGCTGCCGCTGCACACTGTTGGGTCATTTTTAACTCGTTGTCCACTAAGATTCCAAATTCTTTTCACAGTTACTGGTATTAAACCTAGTTTCTCCCAATCTATATGTGTACTTTTTATTTTTCTTGCCAAAGTGTAAGATTTTACTTTTCTTTACATTGAATTTCATTTTGCTAGTTAGGACCCAGTGTCCACATCTGTCAAGATCCATCTAGATCTTGGAGAGGGCGTGGCCGGCATCGGGCAATATGGTGTGGATTTGAGAGCTCCAGAAGAGCACCGATATCCCAGCTGATTTTGGGGATCCCTAGGGATCATAGCTGTCTTGTAGGGACAGTGAAGAAAGAAGATGCTGTTGTGGCCCGCCAGCGGCCTGCGCGGATTGTTGCTGATCCCGTTGACAAGGAGGCTGGTGTGGTGCTCTGCCAGCAGCTTGTGCAGCTGGTGCTCGAGTCGGATAGCGAGGAGGCTGAAGAAGATGTGGTGCCAGAGGCAGAGATTCAGTCAGGGCCTTCAGAACCTCCAGAGGCTCCTTTAAGTGAAGAGGATGAAGAGGAGGAGCCTCTTCTCAATGCACAGGCACGCAGAGCTGCCAAAAGGCAGGAGTGGTTCCTCAGGAGGAGGTCTCCTTGAGAGTAAGGTTTGGGGCTAATTGGCCACTCCCTTAGCCTATTTAAGAAAGTACACAGCTTGCAACAAGCTGCAGGAAACAACTTTAGTTCACTAATCATCGCTTTGGGATTTCTCTGCAACCTTGCTTCTGGGCTTTCTGCCAACTCCAGTAAGACTCTGGCTATCTTATCTGTGGAATTCTGGCAGGCTGTTAAGAATGCTTATTAACAGCCGGCATTTGCTAAAACTGCGTTATTTGAGTAAACTAAGTTTTGTTCAGAGTTTGTGTGTGCTATGTTCTTTGGGATTCATAGCTGGGGCAGAACAGATGCAGGCTGGCATGGATAGGGAAAGAGCAAGTTCCCTGAAGTGCTGGCATTAGTTTTTGACCCATCGGTGAAGGAAGGCAGCCATGGAGCTGTCAAAAGCCAGAGCGGCCATGATCAGAAAGAGGAAGTGCAGGAGTGGTGATTGAACAGAATATTGTTATCAGATGAGTGATTGGCCAACTCACAGGTAAGAAGAAAAAACTTTTAAAAGCTTGAAAGAAATCCCAATGAGCAATTAGCGGCTAATTTGCACTTGGGAATTTAAGCGGAGGGGGGGAAAAAAGAGGAACGTTAAAGTTAAAACGAAAGCCCTAAAAGGAATCTTCCACTGGATTTAAAATTGGATTTTGAAAGAAATAAAAACAAGACAAGGGAAAAGGAGACAGAGGAACATTTTTTAAACAATAAAAAGATTTAACTCGGAAGAAAGGAAACGGGCGTTCCCGTGGAGCTATAAAATGGCTTTGTTGCCGAAAGAGTTGTGAATTGAAGAGAGATATCTGCTGGAGGAGAGATCGTGGGAAAGAGCCATAGGAGTATACAGCTGAAAAGATTAAGAGAAGCAGAGAGGACGAGGACTGAGATTGTGATGGCTCAAGTGAGCATTTGAACTGGACACTATCTGGAAAGAAAAAGGAGATATTAAATGGACTTTGAAACTAGAAGTATAAGTAAATGGAAATAATAAATTGGAAAATTCTAGCCTACTAAAGTGACAATATGGAGAATTGGGAGGATGAATGTGAAATATTAAGGGAGATGTTTGAAAAAATAAGAGAAGAATTTAAGGGAAATAAGGAAGCAGAGGATTGGTTAGAATGCAAGAAAAAAGAAAGAAAAGATTAATGAGAAGAGAAACAAGGAAAAAATATTGAAAAGGAAATAAATGAAAATAAAGATAAAGATGAGTACACTGGGATTAACAGTGATAGAATAAAAATGGATAAGAGAGAATACATCTCAAAACTGAAAAGAAGAGAAATAATTGGGGAAATATTGAGAGGGAAAATTAACAGAGTGAAAATTAAAGAAAAGAGGCAGAAAGGGAGATATAAGAAAAGGAAGAGGAAGAAGGTAAGGGAATGGGAGAAAGAGAGGAAAGCATCAAGAAATGGGATTGTGGAAAGTTTAAAAGAAAATGGTTAAGAGTCAGTGAAAATATTAATATGTTAATAAAGAGAAGGATGTTAGTTGTAGAAAATATATGTGAAAATACTGTTTAATGTAAAACAGATCAGTAGATGAAATGTGAAAAAAAATGAACTATGTTTTTGATGTTGGAGGAAGCACTAAGTGGAGAGAAATAAAAGCAACAAAAGAATTAATTGAAATTAAGATGGAAATTGAAATTGAAATGTAAAATTGAATGAAAATGAAATGTTAGTAAATCATGTAAATGACAGACTTGTAAGAAGTAAAACGGAAGAAACACATTGTTAAAGGGAAAAAAGCAAGGGTTGGAAGATTATTTTAAAAAGGTTTCAAGGAAAAAATGAAATAAGTTGAAATATTTGTTAATAATTAAAAAGAGGAGGGGAATTTCGAATAATATTTTTAATAAATGAGAAAGATCGGGGTTGCCTGGACACCATAGTGGAAAATATTAAATTGAAAATGAATATAGCAATAGAGAGAGATGAAAGAGGAGTAGAGAGTAGAGAGATGGAAGAGAAGGGGAGAAGAGAGAGGGATGGAAGAGAGGGGAAATCAGAGTAGGAGAGTGGGCTAGACAGGGAGGAAGAAAGGAGGAGAAGGAGAAAGGAAGAGGAAGTAAAGAGGAGCAGGAGAGGAGGGAAAAAGAAAGTAAGAAGGAAAGAAGAGAGGGAGATGGCAGGATTGAGAAGAAAGATTGCTGTACAATAAAAAAGATGAAATGGAAGAAAGGCAACCCTGAACATATATAAATATACTAAGATAAAGAATGAATGGTTAAAAAAGAAAAGAGAATAAATATGAATAAGCAGGAAAATTAGAATTTGAGGGCGAATGAAGATGTTGTTTATATAAGTAAGCAAAGAAATATTGAGATATGATTAAAAAAAGGGAAAAAAGAAAATTGTGACAAAAATTGTAATTGAGTAAAATGTATTTGAATTTGATAAATTGTATAACATAAGATATGGCCAATACTCTGTTCAAAAAAGATGTGGGTGAATGTGGGGGGGGGACCAATAAAACTTGATTTTTTTAAAAAAAGATCCATCTAGCTCTTGAGCCTATCATCTAGGGTGTTGGCTATTCCTGCCAGCTTAGTATCATTTGGTATCATTTGGTAATTTCCCCTTCTATTTCCTCATCTAAATCGTTCATGATTAGATGGGAGAGCCCAGAAAAACTCAATTCTGCAGGCAACCTTTATGGATAGGTCTTTTTGCCATAGAGAACTAACTATACTGGATTCTCACCTAATAAGAATCACCCTTCAGATTCCCCTCCCCCCCCCCCCCCCAATAAGTCCTTTTACCCTTCTCTTCATTCATCTGAAGTCACATTTTCAATTCTGGAAAGAAAAAAAAACAGGCAATTTTTTTTGCTAGTGTTCTGTATCAACCTAATTTGTTACATGCTTTCTTTTTATGCAGGTGGTTTATCTTCATGAGCTTAACCAAAAAAAAAAGGTCAAAGGCTCTCAAAGTCAAAGAAACTAGAAAAGATGTAATATAATTTGTTTTCTGTTTATGGTGCATCCTAGTAACAGAAGTCGATACCACAGTAATAGGTGGGAGAGAAAAACATCATTATGCTTTACTGCATTTGTACTCTGGTACTTGTATTTAAATATATTTTCAGTGAAGCTTTAATAGCAACAGATACTTCTGCTAATGTTTATCATCATACATTAATTGCTCCCTTTCTTCATGCAATAAGCTTTTCTATCTATGACATGAAATATTTAATGTTATGTGACCACATTTTTCAGAAATGGAGTTACAACTAATTTTATCTTCTGTGCTTTTGTATGTTTTTCCTCTCAAAATGTGACCCTTACAACATTGCTGTTGTATGTTTTTTTTCCTTCAGCATCCAAGTAACAATTACCTTTCCTTTGAAACAAAGCCTGGGAAGAGAGGTTGCTATAGTGCTGCCGTTTGTTGTACTGTGGTCAAAACTGTAAAAAAGAAAAATCTATATAGGCACTCAGCCTTATAATTCCCAGGCAGTATGGACAATGGTTGGTTAAGAATTATTGGTATCCGAGTTGTAATTCAACACATTTGATGGGTCTGAGTTGGGGAAAAACTGTTCTTTGTTCAAGAAGCATTTTTGCTTTGCTGGAAATTCTTTAGTACTATCTTAAATGATATTTTAGTATATATATTGTTAATATAGTGCTAAATAAAATTCCAAGTTTATTTATATAGTCATAATAAGGCCAATAATATATTATCGTTAAATATTTTGAATGCACATTAGCTATTATGAATTGAGTATTTACAAGAATCCAAGAACTTAGTCTCATTAATATGTTAATTAATATTGTTAAAATCAGAATTAATTTGAAGCAGAAAATTGTTCTGATCTTGCTTGAATGCTTAAATTGAATTAAGTTGATTCATTCCAGATTTCCAGATTTAATCTGTTTATACATATGTAAAGAAGCTTCTAAAATGATTTGTGAAGACCTTTTTTTGTCCATGATCAGAATAATCTGTATCATCTGATTCAATCTGAAGTAATCCAGTTCAATTTACTGATCTAATTAGACTTTCTAAATCCAATTAGATGTCACACTTTGACAATTTAGATTTTTGCACAGTATTAGTGCTTAGTAACAGAGTGTTGTAGAAATTACTTGGGCATCCATGGATCAACCCCCTCCCCCCCAGAACTACTGTATTCTTAAAAATGAGGCTTTCATGGTGGTTGGTGATTTTTTTTTTAAAGAAGAAATGAGGTATGTGTGCAAAACTGATATCATATTTGGAAAAGTGGTTGTTGAGGACAAGATGGAGAGATCACATTGATTATTTAAATTCTTATTTAAATAACCACCTTTTTCCCTTAATGCAAGTGGGCACAAATGAAAGAGAAACCTGAACAATTCTGGAAATTATGAGTGTTTGTTAGAAAGGAAGATGAGAAACTGGAAGCACAATTTTTAATCAGTCTGTCCAGTTGAGGGTCATGATGCAAGAAGAAAAAACAATAATCAACAAGTGGCTATGGGAATGGTGTCATCTAGAAGGGTTTGGCTTTTATGACAATAATCAAAATTACTTCATGAAGAATTTCTGAGAAGACAAAGCCCCGCGACTTTGTTAGCCGCTAGAACAGCAAAGAAACAGCTGTCTAGTGGCGAAGAACCTTCCCCCCCAGGAGAAGAGGGGGAAGTGAGCAGCCAGGCATAGGGTAGAGCTCCCTAAGAGCCCTAGAATTAATTCTGGGGCTCGAAAGGTGAGAGCTCCCCAGGAGCCTGGGAAAGCTCCAAAGCCAGGACGCCTCTGCCAAAAGGCAGAGCAAAACGCCGTGACCGCCCCTGCTACAAAATTGAAACAAATTGAGAAATTGAAGCAGGCAGAACAGAGACAGGAGGCTACATAACTGCAAGTATTTATACTTCAATTCCATTGAACATTGCTTCTTTCTGAGTCTACAAGAGCGGAGCTGAAGTGGAAATGGGGGGTGGGGAAGATGGCGCTGGCTTGTTAACACAAAGAGATGAAAATCTTTTTAGATATGAGAAAAACGTAATAGAATGTAAAAAATTAATGAAGGAATGTTTTCTTTTCAATATGAAAATAGGGAACATCTATGGATATGGTATGGAATGCTAGAATACATGAGAGGAATTTTGATAAATATGAACAATGCATATAGGCGTAGACAGATGGAAAAAAGGAGGGAATTAGAAGAAGAGATTAAGAAAAAAAGAAAAGGTGTTAATACATAACCCAGGGGATAAGAAAACTAAAGAGGAGATTACCCTATTACGAGGGCAGTTTAATATGATGCTCTCAAATCAAGTGGCATCTAATTTACAATATGCTAAACACAATACCTTTTGTAATGCAAATAAACCAGGTAGATGGTTGGCATACATGTTGAGAAAAAAACAAAAATCTCGTACCATAGAGAAAATAGATTATAAAGGTAAAGAGGTTTATCACCAGAATATGATTAAAAAGGCATTTTTAGAATTTTACACAAGATTGTATACTGCAGATAAAATACAAGGTGTAGAGATATTTGGATAGACAAAATATTCCTATAGTCACAGAGGAACAAAGAGAACGGTTGAACCAATTAATAACAGAGGAGGAGATCCTTTTAGCAATTAAACAATTAAAAACTGGCAAGGCTCCTGGTACAGATGGATTAACGGCTGTGTATTATAAATATCTACAACTGGAAATGGTTGTACCTCTTAAAGAATTATTTAACAGAATACAGTTGGGAGAAGGGGTACCACCTTCATGGAAAAAAGCCTTTATTTCATTAATTCCAAAAGAAGATCAAGATTTGACGCACCCAAAGAATTATAGACCTATATCATTATTGAATACAGATTATAAGATATTTACTAAGATATTGGCAAATAGGTTAATGTCAGTAATGCAAAAAATGATTCATGCTGATCAATCTGGTTTTATACAAGGGAGGCAAATGAAAAATAATGTAAGACAAATTGTTGATATATTGGAATATTTGGAAAGGAACAACCAAATCCCTGTGGTGCTTATATTTTTAGATGCGGAAAAAGCTTTTGATCGATTGGATTGGCAATTTTTATTGAGAGTAGTTCACAGGATGCAATTTGGGAATTGCTTTATGCACTCTATAAAAGCAATATATCAAGAACAGGCAGCTCAGATAATTGTTAATGGCAGTTTAACAGAAACTTTCAAAATTGAAAAAGGTACGAGGCAGGGATGCCCCTTATCGCCATTATTATTTATATTAACTTTATATTCAATTGTTGTTGAATAGAATATGTAATATAGATGAGATAGAGGGAATTAAAGTTAGAGATTATGAATATAAAGTATGGGCATTTGCAGACGATTTGGTTGTGACCTTAACTCAACCAGTGGAATCAGCAAAGGTTCTGATGGATATAATTAAACAGTATGGTCAAGTGTCTGGGTTTAAAATAAACGTTGGAAAAACAAAGATGATAGTTAAAAATATGACAATAAATCAAAAAGAGGAGCTACAAAAGGTAACGGGATGTGAAATAGTTAAAAAAGTTAAATACCTAGGTGTTCATATGGCACCTTCTAATGGGAAACTGTATAAATATAATTATGAGTTGTTATGGCATAAAATACAAATTGAAATGGATAAATGGAAAAAATTACAATTGTCCTTGTTAGGTAGAATAGCAGTTATAAAAATGAATGTTTTACCTAAGTTTTTATTCTTCTTTCAAATGATACCAATACTAAAAAAGGATGCCAACCTGGAAGAATGGCAGAAAGGTATTAATAAGTTTGTATAGCAAGGTAAGAAACCAAGGATAAAATTGAAAATAATGCAGGATATACGAGAAAGAAGGGGGCTGAAAATGCCCAATTTAAAATTATATTATGAAGCAGCTGTCTTATCAGCAATTAGTGATTGGATTAATTTAACAAATGGAAGGATTCTGAACATTGAAGGGCATGATTTGGTTTACGGTTGGCATGCTTACTTAGTGTATGATAAAAAGGTGGATAGAGCATTTAAGAGCCATATATTGAGGAATGCTTTACTGCATGTCTGGAAGAAATATCAATATAAATTAAATAAAAAGATACCTATATGGACAGTACCCAAGCACGCAATAGAGAACACGAGTATAGAAAGCAGACAGGATGTAATTACATATACAGATATTCTTAATATGGAGGGAGGTATATTAAAATTAAAACCTTTGAATGTGTTGAAAGAGGAGAAAATAATTCAAACTTGGTTTCAGTATGTATAACTTCAAGCCAGATGGAGAAAAGATCAGAAAATTGGTATTATACAAAGCGATGAAAATTTAATAAAACAAACTAGAGACCAAAGTTCAATGCATATAAAAAGATAGTATAATATATTGATAGAGATAGACTCGGAAACAGAGCTAGTTAAAGATTGTATGATAAAATGGGCGCAGAATTTTGAACAACCAATAATGATGGAAACATGGGAAAAAATATGGGTGAGAAATGTGAAATTTACACAAGCGCAAAACTTAAGGGAGAATTTTTATAAAATGTTTTATAGATGGCATCTAGATCCAAAAAAACTATCTTGTATGTACCCGAATGTACAACCAAAATGTTGGAGATGTGATTGTGAGGATGCTACATACTTCCATATTTGGTGGACATGTAAAAAGGTTAAAGCGTTCTGGATAAAAATTTGGTGGATTTTACAAAACATTCTTAAAAAGAGGTTAAAATTTACACCACAGTTGTTTCTGCTGGGTATAGTTACGGATTGTACGGTTATAGAGACTAATTTGATTTTGAATTTAATAACTGCAGCAAGATTGTTGGTGGCACAATATTGGAAGAAGCAAGCTTTACCTACAATCCAAGAATGGACAATGAAAGTAACAAACCTAGCAGAGATGGCAAAAATCTCGGCGTACTTGAAGGAACATTCAAATGAAAGATACTTAAGGGACTGGAGAAGATGGATAGATTATATCCAAAGCAAACACCAGAAAAAGAAGTTGCAGATAGATTATGAATAAATACGTAGATATTTGGTGTGTTTTTAGGTAATTAAGTTAGCAGGGTAATTAGGGAATTGAGGGAATAAGAGATGCTGAATGTTATAATTATTTAGATTAGGATGGATTATGTTTGTTGAATGTTCTGCCCTGTAATTTGTTCTGGGAAGA